ATTTAACATCATAATCAACCCAGGACAATTGGGTAAGACTAGAGGTCCTTTTTTAATGCCTTTATTCTAAGAATCAGCTTAGGCAGGGGCCTGAGGGGTCTTGCACACTGCCACTGCTCCCAGATTCCACGCGGAGGAGGAGGAGGTTGACTTTGCCACACGGCAGAGTCAGAGCTTCCATACTCACAGGAGTCTGCAGGAATGCTTGTCTTCTTTGGCTCGGAGTCTAGGATGTCATCCTGATCAAGTTCCCTCTTGGTCATGTCAGCACTTGGTGTAGGAGTCTAGAAATGCAGGGATATTTCTCTGTCTATATAATTCTTTAAAAAATACATTAATCATATGTAATATTGATAAAAAGGCTTCCAAATATCCCTGAGCAAGCCAAAATTTGTAAGAAATTAAATAGAAAGTAGAAAAATGTTTCTTTTAACACAGAGGTGAAAGTATAGATTTTAAAAGGGTTGCACACGTGGAGTAAAGATGGAGGAAAAAGGGTGTAGTTTTTAATCCTTCTTCTTCCTTCTTCTCCATGCTTCTGCAGTTTATAGAAGCACAAAATATGATTGGTTTAGAGTTAGTCGCACTTTTAATTACACGAGTAGATATAGAAAACTTATTTGTTGAGATATAGTAACAATACACGTGTCTGTAGTTAATAGGATAAAAGTTAGTATAAAGGTGAAAAGACCGCGTGGTTCGAGGCCATTTTGTATCATTAGAACGAGATGAGCCAGGCTGTGGTGATTTAAGCTTGTGCAGTTAGTCTGGATAGACCTGCCAAATTTTGTAAGGATCCTTCAATAAACACGAGAAACCAGAATCTAATGAGCCCGGGAGTTTTCTTCGAATAATAAGGACTGAGATAAGTGGGACTCCCCACGAGGGAGGATCCCAAGGGAATTCAGCCCAAAGGAGGCTGAGAGACTAGAGAAAAGTTATATCCACAGAAAATTCAGCCCAAAGGAGGCAAGGAGAGAGAAAGTAACACTTGGGAGGATGTCAGGGGACTCCTCTGGGTCTTCCTCATTTGGTGGTGCTGTTTTTATTTTTACTTTTTAGTGTGGCTCATTGGCTCCGGGTTCTTATCCGTCTGTGTGCATCCTATGTCTCTCTGGTCTCATTTACATATAGGCCCTTATGTCATCCTCCTCCTCAGGGCCAGGGGTGCCATTTTTGGGAAGCAGCAGTGGCGATCTTCCAATGGGACAGGGACATGACAACGAAGGGTAAGTACAACTAATACATAACAAGAAAAGAATTAACGACTTGAACTTCGGATAAACAACTGGTTTACAACAAAACACTAACCAAGGTTTAACATTTGCATCCGGGTTCTCAAAATGGTTTCTCACAAGTTTGTGTCAGAAAGCTGGCTGGCAGAGATTACCCTGAGATCCCATTTCAAGTGCAAGCCCTCAGCAAGATGCTGTCAGCCATATACAGGGCTCTTAAAATGGATTTTTTGGATGCCCACTTTTCAAATTGCACAGGTCAAAACCAAAGGTTGATTTTAGTTGAGTTCATGGCCAGATTCATGTTAAATTTTCCTAGATTTTCTGAAGGATGACTGCAACAATGACCATTCCACTTTCTCCCAAGGATTCCTCTCTCCCTCCAAGGGCTGCAGACACATTTGCAGCTCCTTCTTCAACTGTTCTACATCCTCCCACTGAGTCCACTTTTCCTGCACCTTCTTTGACACATGCTGAATCCGCAGCTTCTCTGATTTTGGCCGTTCCTGTGCCTCACATCTGTCATGGGGTGACTTTACCTTTAAGATGGTTTTGGGAGCTAAGGAAGTTGAAGCTGCTGGTGGCTGATGTGAGTCTTTTCTCCTGACCAATTATCAGTCATTTCTAAGAACTGACAGCAGTTTTGACCATTAAAAAGTGAGATCAACTTATGAACACCCCCTTAAGATGTAAAGTCAGAGCTCTCTTGTTCTCTTTGGTTTCCAGCTTCTGACAAGGTAACAAGGCTCTGTCTTGGCCTCCTCCCCCCCTCCCCAGGCCGGACAAGGCCGCAGAGGGCGGAGAGGGGGAGAAGCAGAGCCAGCCAGCCTGGTTTAGTTTTCAGTTTCTGCTGCTGGACTGAAACTTGACACCATGAACTCTTGCAGCTTTTCTAAGACTTTAATTCTTTTACTACCTGGATAAAACATACAGATTACTCCTTTTTCCCAGAGAGGCAGAGAGAGAGACAATCAACATGAAAAAGACATCATAAAACCACCAAAAACAGTGAGGAAAAGAGTTAAGTTTTAGATGAGGAAGAGAGAATAAGGAGATGCTTTATAAGCTGAAATATCTTTCTGTTAAAGCTATGGAGATAGACAATAAGGTCCTGAAAAAACTCCTTTAATTCATTCAGAGTATATTGGGAGGAATGGAGTGTTCAGAGTGTGGATTTTGAGCAAAAGAGAGAGTAATTGTGATACAGTGAAGTGCTGGAACAGAGTGAGGAGAAAATTTGAAGCCGTTTGAGGCAATGAGAAAACTGTTTCCAGGGAAGCTCACAAAAACACATGAAGAGAACTTTTGCCTTTGAATAACTCGTCCTTAAAAAGACATCCCTAGACTCATGGCCCATCCACACCTCAGAGTGATGTGAAATGAGAGGAGTGAACTCTGATGACAGGATTTCCGGGCAGCTGGCATTGGAGAAATAGAAAACTATAACAGAAATAGTTTTCTTGTGAAAAACTCCATAGATTAGCAGAAGAAGACTTCTGTTTCTCTACAAAGACTGATGAAAAGACTCTAGCAGGAATTGGGACTGTTTTAACAACCAAAGTTCCAAAGTTTTTTTGTCTCTATGTTGTCACATGTACAAGAGAATGGTTGGGTAGTGGGGGATAAAAGGGTTTTCTGGAAGTTTATTCTAGTGTTTTTATTCTTGTAGTTTTGTTAATGAACTTTCTTTATTCATTTTAAGTTTTAAGCCTGTTTTGCTCTTGTTCTAATCCATATCTCACAACAAGAAATAAGTAATTTTTTTAGTTACTGCTTTAAAACCACAACAACATCCACCTTGGGACTCTTCATCTCCACTCATTTGTTGGAAGCCTTCGCAGCCTGGCTGGTGAGATGTCAACACTTCCACCTCAAGTCAAACAGAACAAAACAGTCAGAGACTACAGCTTGGCCCTGTCAGCCAAGAGTCATTGACTGTGAGGAAAGGGACAGGGCAGGTTTATAAGGGCTACAGACAGCTTGTTTCAATCCCCCCTCTGAGTCACCATGTTCTCCTGTAAAAACACCTCAAGAAACAAGGCCAGCAGGAACAGGCCAGCAAGAATCAATTAGGATGACTACTGGCCAAAAGGCCAAAGGATTAGTCCCATTGCTCAGGGCAATATTTGAGAGTCAGCACACCAGGAAATGCCCTTCAGAGTGACTGTGATAGACACTACAGCAGGATGGCACTCAGAGGCATCCCACTACCCCTCTATGCTCTGCAGTGGAAAGGTGAGAAGGGCAGAAAACACCAGGTTGCTGACTGCAGTGTCTATTGCTGTTTCACTCACTTGCTTCTGTAGAGTCTGAGGGAGGGGACTAAATTTCTCTCTAATGGTTTTCATCCTCCAGCCTCTTCGCCCTTGCTTTGATCCTAGCCTCAGTTTCCGGCAGCTCTGCCTGCAGCTTTTCCTTGATGTCTTGTAAAAAAACAAGAGAGAGGAAATTTCATTAACGGAATGGCTGCCACTCTTTCACTACCCTGGTTTCACTGATCACCCTTCTGCCAATGGAGCCACATTTCCTCTTGGATGCTTCTCATGTTTTCCTCGTGCCTCCTCTTCACTACCATGATGTTGCTCTGAGCTTCAGGCATCTCTGCTTGTGGCTCTGCCTTGATGCTCTGTACACACAGATGCAGAGCAAGTGACTGGGAGCTTCCATCAGGCTCAGCTTTTCCCTCTTTCACCCTCAAATCACATTTATTCAGTCACTTTTTTCTGCTTCCCTACCCACCTCTGCTTCCACTGTAACCCTCCTGTCCCAGTGCTGATCTCTGCAGATTACAAGGCTCTGTGCTTTCAGTGCCTCTGGGACTCCTGGCCTCCTCAGTCCCAAGAGCTGTGTTTTATGCCCCTCTTCCTGCCCTGCACTCTGTCACCTGCTGAGTCAGGCTTTCCTGGCCATTCTCCAGTGGCTCTTCCACCTGCTGCCCAAGCTGCTCTTCCTGCTCTCGGGCTGGCAACAGCTCTCCCTCAGTCTGGCACGGCATCTCTGACAAAATAATCTGTTGATGCTCTTTCTCCAGAAGGACCTGCACAGAAAGCAAGAGAAAGAGGATGGGCTTCAACTTCCCATACAACATTTGTGGGCCAAGACTCAAACATTGATGGGCTCATGTGCCCAAAGCACTGTGCTGCTGCTCTCCTCAGTCATGCCATAGGGAGGCACAGATTCCAAAGTGACACTGGCAGTACAATCAGGGTCCATCTGGGTCTGAATCCCCAACAGACTCTTGGGCAGCTGACAGGAAATGTGTGCCATTTCTCAAGGGTCTGCTGAGGGCCTCCCTCCCCTTCTGCTCTGTCCTCTTTGTCTTTCCATAGTCACTCACACTCAGCCCTGTCCCACAGCTCCATCCTGGCTCTGCAGGTGGCTTCCTGTGTGATTTCATCCCTTGTGAGAGACACTTGTGGAGTTCATGTTCTCTTCAGGCCTGCACCACCATTCCTGCCTTTCTGACATCTACACTCTTGTTAGAAATCCTGGTCATTCAGGAGATAAGGATGTGTGCAATTTGATCCTCTGATGGAGGTCAGAAAGCCCCTATGGCCACCTGAGTATATGGAAGAGGACCAAGGTGTTTATCCTCCCTCTTTTGTCAGCTGAGAATTCTGAGCAGCACTAACAGAGATCCTCCAAAGGCCCCATCAACAAAAGAATTGACACACCCCTAGGGCTGCCAATGAAGGAAAACATTTGTCATGTAATCTATGTATGACCAGAGTCACCAAACTCCACCTATGCAGTGTTTTAGATTGACCGATTTAATTTCCTGGCCAATGCACTAAAAAATGTGGTGGGTTTAGTGTTGGCTAAAATCACCAGTGCACTTACTCATTTCTTGCTGTGAGATATGGAATAGGAGGAGGGAAAAACAGGCTTAAAACTTATAATATATGAAGAAAACTTTGTTAACAAAATTAAATAATAATAAAAATAAGAATGAAAACCTTCAGAACACTTTTCCGTCCCCCACACAACTTCTTTTCTTTCCCAAGAAAATGACAATGTAGAAACAACACATGGGATTTTAAATCAGTTACCAATTCTACAATAGTCTTTCATCACTTCTTGTAGGGAGAGGAATTTTCTCTTGCCATGCCATGGACACTTCTCCACAAGAAACAGTTCTCTTGTGGCTTTTCATTTCCATGAATAGCAGCTGCCCAGGAAAAGAACTGCAATTGTGAAATTGTGAAATAGCCCTGCTACAGTTGCATTCATGGACGATATCAAATTATGGGGTATTATTTTAAGGATGAGCTGTTCAAAAAGCAAAGGTTGTCTTCATCTATCTCTGGGATCAACTTTCTCTCTAGGAACAGAGGCCTTCTTGTTCTCTCCCTGGAGAAAAGGGTCTTCATCACTCTCTCTCTCTGTTCAAGCTTCCCATGGAATCAGTCTCTTCAGCATCTAGTTTGCTTCATCATGGATGCTTCTGTTCACATATACAGTTTAAACACTTCATCACCCCATGCTCTCTCATGAATTAAAGGGGATATTTCAGCTTATAATTGCTCATCTCCATGGCCTTACCGAAAGAACTTTCAGCCTCAATACTAAGGCATCTCTTCATTCACTTTCCATCTGGGACTTGCCTCTTTCTTTACTGACCTTGGTGTCTTCATGTTGTCTTTCTACGTGTCTTCATTCTATCCTTTTTTCTCACCTGAGGGGGCAGTTGTGATCTGCAGGTCTCATCTGTGCACTGAAAGGGTTAACATTTCACCCAGGCCTACAGAAGGCTGTCACTGCTGGCAGTGGCAAATTGTCCCCACTGGGACCCTCCCTCTGCCAGACAATGGCAAGGGAGGTGGGGGGACACGGCAGAGAGGGGCTTGGCCTGGCCTAGAGCTGCTCCTGCAGTCTGGCAGACTCAATGTAGACTGGTGGTGGAGGTGGGGGACAGAGCTTGGTGTCAGCAAGATGTCAGCAGATGTGGTCCAGCCCAGCTTCAGCCAGGGCCCCAGGGCCTCCTGTCCCCTGCCCGGGGGCCGCTGGGGCCTGGCCTGGCCCCAGCCAGGCCACAAAGGCCATGGGAGAGATGGACTGGCCCCACCAGTGCTCAGTTACCTTTCAAGGCTGGAAGCAAGAGAGACCTTTCCCAGGCTTGCCTGTTTTTAAAATGTGGAATTCACAGACGCCGATCCAGCTTCTAAATAGTTCTAAATTCTCAGAGCAAACCAGCTATCATTTTTTTTTTCCAGGCACAGAGGAAGCTCTCAGCAGCTTCTCTCAGAAATCTCATTCCATGGGTGGCTTCTATCCTCAATAATGTCAATCAATGCAAAACCAACACGACCTAAAACATGGAATTGTTCCACCTCACTACGACAGGCAGAAATTTAAAGAATCGACTGAGGACTTTAGGGCAGAAGCGGCTGGAGGAGGAAAACAGCTCTGAGGGGAAAAACCAACCAGATCTACAGGGGAAACACCTCTCCTGCTCAAAACTGGTCAATGGAACCTGTCTCTCCTCCTCTCCTGAAAGGGATGCCTTTAGGTCAGCTTTGCACCTCCAACTGCTTTGCACCAGAGCCCGGAAGATTCCACGATGTAAATGTTACATAGATAGATAGATAGATAGATAGATAGATAGATAGATAGATAGATAGATCGATCCCAGATGCAGAGATCTGATTATTACAGATAAACTGTCTTTACTATCCTTTCTGTGCCTACACACATCAACATTGTAGCCAGTGCCCTGATCAGCAGCAGTGCTGAACTTGCTCTCCTGTAGCTTCAATAAACCACACTCTTGGGGAATCTGGAGTATGCTGGTTCTTATGGAATGTGATCAGACCCAGAGCACTGCACTGGGAACTGCACTCTTTGTCCATCTGTGCTCAGACAAGTTCTTCTCTTGGACTCACCCAAAGTGATGGTGCCTGAAGTGGCTGTAACCAGAAATGAAGCCCAGCCCCTCCCAGTTCCACTGATCCCTGAGGACCAGCTGGAATGCAAGGGTGTTGATTTCCTGACCAATTCCCAAAACACAATACATACTGATCCCCTGCCAGTGGCTGGGATGAGAGCTGCTAAAGACACAGACACTGTTAACCAGAAAGTGATGTGCAAGGCCCTACTGGCTGGTCAAGAAACAGAACAGCTCCTTCTGCACCAAAATCCCCACCTCAAAGTAAGTGTTCTCATGCTAACATACTGCATCGTACAGAACTGTGAGCTGGAAAATTAAAATTATATCAGAACCTCTTCCAGTGCTGGAAAAATGCAAGAAATATCCCACAAAACCACCTTTGCTTCCTGGAAAAAGTGAAAAATAAACACATCTTCTCCTCCTAGCAAACCAAAAATGCAACAAAAAAAGGTGAGACTCCCAAGTCCGATCTGGGCTGTGTTCTGATTCTTAATAAGGCCAGTGGTAAACAGTTGACCCATGACAATTGGGTTTTAATCATAAATTTAGCCAGAGTTCTCTTGAGAGGTTGGTTCATCTTTCCAATCAACCCTGAACTTTGTGGGTACCAGAGAATATGTAATTTCCATTCTATACCTAGAGCTTGAACAAGTTGTTTTAATATTTTTGATGTGAAATGAGTTTCTCTGTCTGAGTTAATATTATTAACTATTCTGTATGGAAAAATGATTAGTTCTAGCAGAGTTTTGCATACTACATTGGCAGCAGCCTTAGCAGCTGGTACCAATTCTACATAATGGCTTAACTGATCTATTATTACAAGTAAAAAAATCCACCGTTGCACTTGGGTGAGTTCAGTGAAATCTACTTGGATACTCTGAAAGGGCCATAGGACTCCCCCACCCGCCAGTGTGTTCCCCTCATGACCTTTCTGTTTATATTTTGCTATATTGCACTTTTCAGTTATTTACTTCGCTATTCTAAAAATTCTTATGCAACCTCAACTTCTCAGGAACTGATCACTTAAGGGTTGGTGTCTTGGTTTTGGAAGACACGTGTCTGCTAGGGAGAGCAGGAGCCTCCCTTAGAATGAAATTTTTTTTTGAACTATCTCACTTCAGAGGAGTTGAGTGAGACAGTTACAAACCCAATTCCCCCTGGTGCCCCTCCCTCCTCCTCCAATGGAACTTCTCAGAGGGGATATAGTGATACTACTTGGTGGTCCTTTCTTAATCCCTCCCGCTGAGCCATTCTTCTCCAGGTATTTTGACTAGGCCTGTCAGGGGGTGGATGGGGTGCATGAGGCGCTGGCAGATATGGAGGCAGGAGACAGTCTAAGGGGTCCCAATTTTTGTCTTCTTCCAATTTAAACACCTTTATTTCTCCCAGAGAGTTTCCCTTCCCCCAGCAAGCAGTATAATCTTTTTCTTCTTGGCTAGCAGCTTCCTTGGCATTTAGATGCATATTTAAAGCTTGACACAATTCCTTTTCGAAAGACCCATGTAGGGGCCAGAATAAATTATCTGACTTTATCTTTTCTTTGGTCCACAGGATTATAAAATAATGCATCATTTTGATCTTATTTTTATTTTTTGGGTCTGGGTTGCATTCCTACTGTGCTAGTTTTATTCCTAGGGGACTATCGGGGGGATATTTTGGCTTTTCTTCCCCTTGGTGGCTTTCTTCTTGCTTGTCTTGTGTCCCATTTTATCAGTTTCTATCCCACCACTTCTTGCACAGCACCTTTGCCTCTCTTTAACTTCCACACAAATCTAACTATAAACATCTTACAGGTTTTCTCCCAGCCCCGCTCAGGTATAATCGAAATTCTGGGAACTAAATACTGTCTACCACACACTACTTCAATTATTTCTGCTTGTCATGATTCAGCCTCTATTTCCCTACAGGCTGTTCTTATTCTTGGGCTAATTCCTCATGTCCTACAGTAATTAAGAATCACACTGCCTGATATCTGGCTCTTACTTCAGCTTCTTGACCCTCCTGACACCAAGCACCTCTGAGGGTAGCAGTGCAATACCACCTCTTGTGACAATTCTTACACTCACACAAAACCCAGGGCTCACAGCCAGGTCCACAACACAAGCAAAAAACTCCACTCATACAGACACCACAAAATCTTTTTTATAAAG